GGGGATGTATAAAAACCTTGTTACAATTAGGTGAATAACATTAACTTTATGAGAATTATTACAATTTCTAAATGAATGTCAAACTGTAAAAATGAATGTGATGTGCATGCATAAAAAGTTATTTTTTTCATATAAAAAACAAGTAATACATAATGAATACATCACACACAAACAATCCTAAACTTTTCAGACCGATTCGCCAAACCACGTATTCGTTGTTTTGAGTTACGATACTTATGCAACAATCGTTACTGTTCAAAACAACTTGTTTGTCTGAGATACTTTCACTTTTCAACTGTAAGTGAAACTGTTTGCAATTTGTATCCCTGAAATCTCATGTTAAGTGAGTTTGTATGTGTTACAAAGGTTTTAGCCATAATTTAAGTTCAAAATATTATAAAAGACACGATGGACATTATAAAAGAAATATGACTATAATCAGTGTAGTGATGATTTCCTCCTTTAATTCCTTAGGTTTAAAGTGGTTAGATATAAGTATTGATTCCCCTTTAGTTTCATTCTTGAATGTTTTCAATGTATTAACAAGAATAAACCTTAAGTATTACTTAAGTAGGGAAATGATCAAATATTAAACATAGTATGATGGTTTTCTTTCAATGATTCGACAGAAGAATACTGAAAGCAATATAGTTAAATTAATAAATATAAACTTTATTAATCTAAGTAAATTAAAGTGTTCTATTTAAACTTCCTGTTGATATAGAACAATCAAAATAATCAAGATAATAATTCTATTTATGCTAAAATCAGTTATATAAAATGTTAATTAAGATAACTGTAATCATATGTATCGTACATGTTTAAAACTTATGAAATATAACTGTTTTTATATTTTTAGAAACTGAAAAATTATTCAACTTTGCTTAGCTTTTGGTGGAATGTAATAAAGAATAGACGTTTAAAATTCGCATTTATTAATGTGCGTAAGGAAAAAAACGCATGATAAAGACTACGTGGTGAAATAACATCGTCGAATATTAGGTGTTAGGCCAGGGCGAAATAGCCCGTGGACCCTCGATATAATAGATTCGGTTTATTCTAAGCATCGTTGGTTTTAATTCTAAAGTTAAACACCTATATCCATTAAGTAAAGATAAGTTTTATATTAGAATCTAATAATTTCAGTTAGTTACGACTAGTGTTTCAGTCAAAGAATTAACACCAATTACTCTAAATTTACTATCTGTTTAAATTAAAGTTTCGATCGGGCAGTGATGGATGTGTCATTCATGATGCTTTAATGACCACATCTGAGCCCGAATATTTAAACTTAATACTAGTATTATTATTACTAAACCCTGGACATACTCAATTAGATTAGCTATCCGAGGCCGACAGTAAAATTCTTTCTCAGGACTAAATTGCACCGTCACACTATGTTTTGATTATTTTCCAAGTCGTAAGATACCTAATTTAGTATCTTTCTTGTAATGTACTTCAATGAAGTAAAGTTGAGGCAAGCTAGTGTAGCTGTAGAGCACGGGGCTTCAGACCCTTGAGGTCCTGGGCTCAAATCCCGCTAATCACCAATGGATTTCGTATGCCACGAACCTCTAGGAGAAGTCTTAAATAACGTCATGTTAAACAATTCTCGGCTACAGCCTATCGTACTGGGATGTCAAGATGGGACATACAAAGTAGAGTACTGTTATACATTTTTTATAATACAGATTTCACGAAGTAAACAAACAAATATATTGATATTTATGATATGAATAGTAGCAGAGCATTTTGATTCCACATATATATGATAACCTCAAATCTTTCCATGAGTTCAATACAAAGAGGCATAAGCGTAATCAGTTGGTTTTGGATTTAAATTCCCTCTCTTCTATAAATAATTACAATAATATATGAAATACTTTTAAAAAACGCCCAAGGCTCTATAGTTCCGTTACTTTAATGTCATTCCCGTCTTTAGACTCATCCCCCTATACATTGAATTCATACATTTTAGTTAGCCTTGTACCTTTAACACATTTAAGATTTGGAATAAAACTTTGCACACAGAACCAAAAAGTGTTAATTCGACTTGACTGTGAATAAAACAATCCAATGTAAATCAAAGGTTAAAACATACACAAATAAAGCTCAAATTAACACATGATTCGCCCTCTCGATGGAGTGGATATACAAAATAAGTGCACGGTGGATTACACTGACACTAAGTGCACGTGTTCAACCAAATGGCGTCTCTCACGCCTAATGTATTTGTGTCTTTTGTCATTTCAGAATACAGGGATTTAGTTTTAACACATTAGTTGGTAAAAGTTAGTCCTTTGAATTCCTAAATTTGTTTAGATTGTGACAAAAATTGACCTAAAGATTATAAAGTATAAAGCATTGTTCAATATTTGTAGTACTTTCAAGTAATATAAAAGGTTTAAATTTATAAGTTTGTTTGTGACGAGTGTGAGGGGTAAACAAAGCGCTGTATTTTGGTTGATATTCTGTTTAGTTATATAGTAAAACTTATATTAGGTTTACTGAACATTTTAGAATTTCCATTTCGAGAGGTAGCGGAAACATTTTGTTATGGAAAGGCATTAAGTGCAGTTTGATTAAACGTAATTGAGGAAAAGTTTAGAGTGTACGACAATGAATATTTTAACTTTTTAGTGCGTTAAGTACAGGTCTGATTATTTATCAATGTGTAGAATAAAATCATGTTTCCGTATAATATAATAAAACCTAGTGAAGTTATTATTTTAGACCAAATAAACTGTATAAACTTAGACTACACAAAATTCAATTATTATAGTTTTAATATTATTTTACCTAATTATTTTGTAACCTTATGTGTATATAAGTATACTAGTTTATTTACTTTTTGTTCATGCAGAAAAAACATAATTTACTATTTTGAATTATTAACCGTTGTCAAACCATTTTAAAATCGGCATCAAGAAATAGGCGGAGCCTCAGGGTGTCTTATATTCTAAAAGATTGAAAGACATTTGAAGAATTCTTGGCATATTAGAAATGGGATACAACAAAATATGTTTGGAAGGATACCTTTAAATTGAAAAATTAAAGTGAAACAAGAGTTCCTTGCACTTAGAATCAGAAAGGTGCGAATGTTTAAGGACTTAATGCATTTAAATAAGGATGTCTACTCTACTTGTCATATATTGACGATACACAATTGACATAAAACAATATCCAATACACAACTATTTAGTAAGCCAAAATATATGCTTTTATTAATATGAAAGCATATTAACACAAATATGTAAACATGTCAATTAGCCTTTGTTGTTTTTTATGAACTGATTTGATGAAAATTCAGTAGAGTGACAGGAGGGTGTCTGTATACGATTATTTTACTGTAATGTGGGATTTCAAACAAAAGTCATTTTTTCATTGATTTTAGATTCAAGACAATAAATTTGATCTTAATTATCTGATTATTTTTAATGCTTAGTATTTCTTTTAAAAATCTTCGGCGAGAATTATGGTAATATAGAAAACGTGTTTTTTGAACAGAATGATAGACTAATACAAAGGTAAGTTTAGTTTTGAATAGGTTATTTGCCAAAGTACCCATTTTGACAAATAATATATACATCCCATTTGTGATTTCACATGTAATATTTCACTAGCAGTTTTAATCCAAATCTGACCCGTAGCGGTTACTCTGAAAATTGTAATCATCGTCATGTAATTAGAAACAAGAATGTCAGACAGATGGATATGCCGGTTAAGTTCTCATTAAGCGACTGCTTGACGTTTCTGATTATAATTGAAGACCAACGACACGTCGGGAATTAAATATGGAATGTCCGTGTCCATGTGAACAACATGCTGATTAAAAAACATTATAGTACAGATACAATATGATTACAGTGGAATGTATCAAAAGATTAATATTTTAATATTTGTTTATCATAGAAATGTAAGGTAGAGAGGAAACATTTAATGGTATACTAAGGGGTGTCTAGCACTATTTATGGTGTCTATGGCGAAGTCCAACACTGCCCCTCTCGCCCTCATTTACTACAACGCTCAAGGTGGAGGAAGACACTGTGTCCTGCGAGATAGGAAAATTTTCGCACAGTGCTCTTTTCGCTCGGGCTCTTCCTTCACACAATATTTGAACCTCATGTACAATGGCAGGACTTTCAGCTCCTCAGCCAGAACATCCGTTGGCACCTCCCGATAGCGGTATCCTTGACGCAATCCCGCCAGCCTCAAAAATAGCAGCTCTGGACAGCATATGGACCCTTAGCAGCTTGTACAAGAACCTCATGTACAATTGCAGGACTTTCAGCTCCTCAGCCAGAACATCCGTTGGCACTTCCCGATAGCGGTATCCCTGACGCACTCCCACCAGCCTCAAAAATAGCAGCTCTGGACAGCATATGGACCCTTAGCAGCTTGTACAAGAACCTCATGTACAATGGCTGGACTTTCAGCTCCTCAGCCAGAACATCCGTTGGCACCTCCCGATAGCGGTATCCCTGACGCACTCCCACCAGCCTCAAAAATAGCAGCTCTGGACAGCATATGGACCCTTAGCAGCTTGTACAAGAACCTCATGTACAATGGCAGGACTTTCAGCTTCTCTGCCAGAACATCCGTTGGCACCTCCCGATAGCGGTATCCCTGACGCACTCCCACCAGCCTCAAAAATAGCAGCTCTGGACAGCATATGGACCCTTAGCAGCTTGTACAAGAACCTCATGTACAATGGCTGGACTTTCAGCTCCTCAGCTAGGACATCCGTTGGCACCTCCCGATAGCGGTATCCCTGACGCACTCCCACCAGCCTAAAAAATAGCAGCTCTGGACAGCATATGGACCCTTAGCAGCTTGTACAAGAACCTCATGTACAATGGCTGGACTTTCAGCTCCTCAGCCAGAACATCCGTTGGCACCTCCCGATAGCGGTATCCCTGACGCACTCCCACCAGCCTCAAAAATAGCAGCTCTGGACAGCATATGGACCCTTAGCAGCTTGTACAAGAACCTCATGTACAATGGCAGGACTTTCAGCTCCTCAGCCAGAACATCCGTTGGCACCTCCCGATAGCGGTATCCCTGACGCACTCCCACCAGCCTCAAAAATCTTTTTTGGGTTGCTTCTAGACGACTGCGTCCACCCACTAAACTAGCTTTGTTTTAAACAGTCAAATCTGTTCATCGGCATATAAATATAAAAGATGTTTTCCCTTAGTACAATACTCCGTGTATACGGAGTCCAGATCGGGGAAGCATATTACAGACACTGCCTCACCATTGCACAATAGAGAGTTTTCAATGCAGTTGGGTTATTCATACCTTTGGTAGAACGGGAGATGAAACCGAGCAGCCTGTTACCCTTGCTAACCTATGAGTTTATATGCTCTTCGAAACTCAGATCGCTGCTGAATATCACCCCCAAATCTTGTACTGGCTCTTACTGGTTATTTTTGTGATTTTCTTTATTTCAACTTTAAGGTTAAAGCTGCAAGTTTAACGTTTGAACATACAAATAGATACCATACATTAAAAACAACAAGAAACAAGTAGGTAATAAAACTAGGGTACCTGGAAACAATAATAAGTTCGATAGTAAATGGTAACTTTGATAGCCTATAGTGAACTATATGGTGTTAATATGGGCATTCAGTTACAAAGTTATTGCGTAAAGCGTGGTTAGGCTGTTTTAAATCAAACGCTAACTAAATAAATATTATTATAATGATTGCGAGTAAATCATATTAATCAATCTAATTGTTATATTACCGTGAGCCTTATTAGATTTAGACTATGTACATATTCTGTATCATTCTTTGGTTTTTTAAATAAGTCAATTAAGAGCTATACAATTATTATTTCATCTATAGGAAAATATGATTAAAATAATAAATATACATATACAGAGGTATCAAATATTAATCAAAACTATGGTTTCCCAAGCTCTCTTTAGGTGGTATTACATTTAATATTTCATGATTTTTTCAAACAATATTAAATTAATTCCGATAAAATAGTATTTCTACAGTATCAGAAGCATAGTATGTTTTTTGATGATGGACAGAACACTTAACAGCCAATCATTAATTGTAGTATTTTAATTTTAATTACAAGCAAATATGAATAACAGACCAATAATTGATACTATACTAAAAGATTTCCCATGAAACTTTCAAGATAGATTAAAATTTTGTATCAATAAAGACAATCGTAATATACTATTGATACTGTACTCAGTTTAAATGTAATTTCTATCAATTAATAGGTGAAATATTAAAAGCTTTTTTTACGAAATTAAATTATCTTTTTGAACTTATCGTTTACACGCTTGCTCGTGTTTTTGGAAAAATAGTCCATTAAGAATTGCTAATATCAGTTAATCTAGTATTTATTAACACAAGTATTTAACAACACAAGTTTACGAAAAAAATTCATTATTTTACGTCTTCAAATAAAAAAGGAACACTCAATCAACAAAATAATGATAACAAACACAAGCTTAATATTAAATCAGAAAACGAAAATGCATTACTTTTATTACAAAAACAAAAGCTTATAAGAAATTCGTTCTGAATATAAGGGGACTTTTGGTTATTATTAAAATAAATTAATATCAAAATAAAAAATACGTTCATCCTAGCTCTGTGTAAGCAAATTGTACGAAAAGAAATACGAATACAAATCATGACCACTTATATCCTTAGCACAAATTTGCATAACTATCAGCAAGAGCAATGGCCTATTTCACTTGGGAGAAAAGATTGTTCAAGACGTAAGAAAAAAAGATTAATTGAAACAGAAAAATATAAAACCATCGTAGATTTAAAGTCTTGTAGATGTTTACCCCGGGCTCACAATAATCTATTTGGAATGGCCATTATTCTGAATATCTTTACAAGTCTAATCTCGGAATGTACGCGAAGCCGATGTTGAGGGGACTCCTAATCGTGTTATTTGCATTGGATTCACGCTTTGAGGCCGCTTCTAGCCCTGTTCCTACTCCAACAATGGATTATGTTTTCTACTTCATTATAAAACAATTTCCCTCGTCGCAAAAACCGTTATTAAATAAACCCAATCTCAATAAGACGTACATTTTTGAGATTAGATTCAAATACTTGGTTGCAGGCCTTTAAGTTACCTTTTTTTTACCTCGATTGAAAATCTAATTTCCGAACCACAATAAAAATTGTTTTTAGGAAACAGAATGACTATTCCTTCATTTAAAAAGTGTTTTTCACTGTACTTTTTTGCAAACATGTATTGCTTTGAAATGGTGGGTCAAAATTTTTTTACAAATATCTACTTTTTAATTTTTCCCATGACTTTGATCATGGGAAAAACATTAACATTAAAGGCGGCTCAAGTCTTTTTTTCCCATGACTTTGATCATGGGAAAAACATTAACATTAAAGGCGGCTCAAGTCTTTAAGGACAGCTAAGAAAGTCTGAAACCGTTATACATTGATTGAATATAAATACAGTTATTTGACACATAAAAAAATGTTCAATAATATATTTATTTTATTGAATTTTTGATAAATATAATAATAATAGTAAGACATCAAGATCATCAAGATTGGGTCACGGAAATGGAGTGTTATGGGGTTTAAAACTGTTCAAAAATAGTTTTTTTTCCTTTTTCCCTTTTCGGCCCAATTTCCTTTGCAACCTTCGTGTAAAAATGAAGAAAACAATTGTTACATTGAAGCAATGTTGTACAATTTAAAATAACCAGGTGAATAAAAAAAAACGGTACATTTAAAATACCAACGTTATACTTATGGAGAAAAAGAAAACTAACGTAGTTTCTTAGTTTATGGTGTTTTTTATCCAATTCCGAAATATTTTTATTTGATTCCCTACTCTTGACATTTGATCAAAAACACTTTTTTCCCTCCTGATACCTAAATTGTCGTTAAACCTAATCCTATTTGAATAGGCATATGACTTGTTTACGAAGATATTTGAGTAAAAGTCCAATCAAACTATTTGAAATTAGCTTTGTCTGCAGGTTTGCTGCGGCGAGGTTATTTATTATTCACGCTCTCATACGATAGTAATATAACACGTCTATTAACAGTTTTAAACGTCCTTACACTCATATTAACAATGTTTACAAGACGATATTGGAGTGATAGTATAGGACTATATAGGAGATACATTATATATATAATTGTGAAACAATTTAACAATTTTGACCGATTTAAGGCCGGGTTTTCCCATGCGCGGAAGTGGAGAGCGGAGAGAGGAACGCGGACAGTGGACTTTACTTGTCTTAGGTAATTTAATGTTACTGTTTTCCTAGAAGCGGAGCGGAATACCATGTTAATCTCTTATCCGCTCTCCGCTTCCGCGTCTAGGAAAACCCGGCTTTAGATCAGTCATGGTATTTATCGTCAAGCCCAATCGGGGACTAAACCTGGGTTTGTGAACCGTTTGATCTGATGATGGCCGATCCTACGCTCTTTTATACACACTTACCAACCTGCAAATGTTTGGACTGTAATTATAGAATTATAAAAGTGTTCGAAAACGTATTTTATAATATTAGCATCTACTGTAGCTAATGGTCAGTCTTCCAACGCATTACAAATGTATTTATATTCTCAACAATGAGTGGAGGTCGTGTTAAATTGTTTACTGGTGACGTGCTAGTTCCCGTCGCGACACGTCTTACATCGTAAAATATATTTATTTTCCCAAGTTTACTAGCTGTGTAAAGCACCTCCCTTTGTTTACAAGCTTCCGACTAAGGGTGCCGTAAGGAAGCCGGAAGAGCGTAATTTCAATCTCATCCATTACTTTACAACCTTTTCATACTAATTTAATTTCACCCTTCCTCATTCTTCCCTCTGAAAAAAAAAACTTATTGGTATTTAGAAGAATCGCTAGAGAATATTCATCTAAAACTAAGATGTTGTAACAGTTGACTTAAAAATATCAAGAAGTTGTCATAGTACAACTTTTAATTTCTTATTTTAAAAACGTGCATGATGAAACTTATTTCTTATGATTTGATTTTGATCAATTGATGCGACCAGGTAAAGAACAGTAGGCCAGTGTCTCTTGTTTACTTTTGTTTAAAATGTTGTTGTGGTTTTCAAGTCAAATGGTTTGGTTGGAATAGTGATTTCAGTTCGAGACCCCGCTAATTACTGACATCCTTTATCTATGTGATAACGACATAATTTGGTAATTACGAACGGAATGGAAAGACTTTTTTTGTGTGATCTGACGAAGAGTGGCCAGAAGATAACTGGTGTTTACTTTTAGACTATTGGTCTGGGATATTATGATAGATTTGTTCAGAGGTTAACAAATTCCCAACTTCGGTACTCCTCTGTTATATGGAAAGTTACTGTATGTTTGGTCAGATTGGGTATAGCTAGTTCCGTATAGTTATATCTACAAATGATATCTTATTATATTGAGCTACATTAACCTATTCCAACTTAACCTATTCCATATAAGTGTGATCAGTATAACAGAAAAGTATCCAAACTTTTCATGACTTGTTCTATTGTTTCAGACTTGGTTGAACATAGTTTGTCTTATTGTGGCAGACTAATTTGAATTTGACTTTGCTTTACTTTTCCAAAGAAAGTGGAACATGATTTATGTTTACTGATCCAAACTTTATCAATCTATGTTTATACCTTATAAGATTGTCAACAACTTTATTTAGATTCTTCAGTTAGCAAGGCCAACCCGGAAGTAGTTATATGGCTGAAAGTAACGTTGCATCGGAACAACGTTAAATGACGGAATTGCCCAGCATACAGTAGATCCCCAACTGTTAATAAATTCATCTGTTCCACCATTCCACACTAGACTTAATTTAAGTGTGTTAACTATTTGTACTGAAAAGAATTTGACTTTTTATTTTCTTATCCGACAAGACAGAAGCTGAAAAGTGTGATCTGGTTCCAACAAAGACAGAAGCTGATAAGTGATTTCTTGTCCCATCCAAGACAGAAGCTGAGAAGTGATTTATTGTCCCAACCAAGACAGAAGCTGAGAAGTGCTTTCTTGTTCCAACCAAGACAGAAGCTGAGAAGTGCTTTCTTGTTCCAACTAAAACAGAAGCTGAGAAGTGATTTCTTGTTCCAACCAAGACAGAAGCTGAGAAGTGCTTTCTTGTCCCAACCAAGACAGAAGCTGAGAAGTGCTTTCTTGTCCCAACCAAGACAGAAGCTGAGAAGTGCTTTCTTGTCCCAACCAAGACAGAAGCTGAGAAGTGCTTTCTTGTCCCAACCAAGACAGAAGCTGAGAAGTGTTTTCTTGTTTCAACCAAGACAGAAGCTGATAAGTGTTTTCTTGTTTCAACCAAGACAGGATCTGAGAAGTGATTTCTTATTTTAACCAAGACAGAAGCTGATAAGTGATTTCTCTTGTTCCAATCAAGACAGAAGCTGATAAGTGATTTCTTGTTCCAGTCAAGACAGAAACTGAGAAGTGCTTTCTTGTTTCAACCAAGACAGAAGCTGATAAGTGATTTCTTGTTCCAGCCAAGACAGAAGATGAGAAGTGATTTCTTGTCCCAACCAAGACAGAAGATGAGAAGTGCTTTCTTGTTCCAACCAAGACAGAAGCTGAGAAGTGCTTTCTTGTTCCAACCAAGACAGAAGCTGAAGAGTGATTTCTTGTTCCAACCAAGAGAGAAGCTGAGAAGTGCTTTCTTGTTCCAACCAAGACAGAAGCTGAAGAGTGATTTCTTGTTCCGATCAATACAGAAGCTGAGAAGTGCTTTCTTGTTCCAACCAAGACAGAAGCTAAAAAGTGATTTCTTGTTCCAACCAAATCAGGAATTGATAATATTTTCTTGTCTCAGTCAAAACTGAGCTGAAGTAGTGTTGTCTTCTTCCTGACAAAGCAGAACCTGAGAAGTGCTTTCCTGCTTCAACCAAGACAGAACATCAATAATGATTGCTTGTTTTTACTAAGACAGCACCTGAGTAGGCCTAATGTTTTCTTGTCCCAGTCACGACAGAATCTAAATAGTGTTTCTTGTTCAGCCTTTACATAGATTGAATTGCATTTTCTTGTTGCAGACTGGGCTGGGAGGGTCGCAGATGATGGTGGACAAGACGGGCGTGGGTCCTGACGGAGACGATGCTGCTGTTGAGCCCGAAGCTTCAGACCCAGACGAAAACCCTGATGATGAACAAGGCAACGGTGAAGATAGTCCTTGTCCATCTCTTAAGCATGAGGACAGCATCGTCTCCGGAGAGAAGGGGCCGTACAGCAGGTAAACACATTAGAAAACAATTGTCTCGATCTTAAATTAGGACTTCACTAGTCTTCCTGTATCATTTGAAATTCCGTGAACATTTTTGGAATTCCTCTAAATAATTAGTTTACTACTCCCCTTCCATTATTACAATTCTTTATTTGACCATAGAGAACCTAATCTACACCAAGTTATGATAAAAACTAGTAAGTTCTTTCACATTAGTTAATTTATGGAACTAAAATTAAATTCACCCAACTTGTGCTGTGAAAGAAGTTGAAGCCTCTAAGGAAGGAAATGAAGTAACCTCATATGTTAAACAAACATAGTCAGGTTTGCATGATACGTATTAATTAAATCTAACAATATACTAAACAAATAATGAACTTCGACCTTAACACTGAATTCTTAACAAGACTAAATTCACAATGACATACAAGAAATATAAGTGATTGGTCTATCTAAGAACCCATTCCGTTAGGCATTGAAATTATTAAAACATTTAGCTTATTGAAAAAAAACCATGAAATAACATTTCAAGTTTGATTTATTATATAAAAAACTCAAAACTGTATTTTATTTATATACAACATAAATACTCTAAGGTAACCCCTAAATCTCTTTTATTATTACAATCACGATAGTTATATATATATACTTAAAAAGACACTGAATAAATTTAATTAAGGGAATAACAGACACTGTGTTCTTGTAGATTGTCAATGGTTAGCGGAGTAAAGATAGTTTGTTAACCAACAACACTTTAATGAAAACTATTTTTGAAACAAAAATGTTGAATTACATTCAGTAACTTTTATCCGGAGAGGGAATACAGTATTGTGGATACTGGATAGGTCGAGTCATTTTAACAGCTCAACAGTAACAGTCACTATTTTTTATCTTCCTAGGTTATCAAATATGATTGATAAATGATAACTTTATAATATTATTTTACAAGTTCGAGCTTATAAAAATCATGATTGCATCAAAAACCATATCATTGTCTCCATCAGAACTCTTCGATAAACTTTTTACCATGTATGGTGTACAACTTTGGTATAGTTTACGTTGTTAGTGGTTGTAAGGGTTGGATCGGGTCGTAATTGGATTAGGAGGGTACTCAGCTAAGGGAGGGGAGACAGCACGATTACTGGATCAGGTTCAGACCATATGACGGGGTAGTAGTGCGACGTGATGGTGGAGTGATCGCGAAAGTAGTTACGACAACTGACGGACCATTGTCTATGACTCAAGATAGAGGATTTGCCTATAAGTGGCTTAGTATCGGAGTGGAAGCAGTATTAGTGCTCCCAATTCTTCGTCTGCCTGGCTCATTGGTTCGCGAGTCTCAACACCAGTCGGTCTCTAGACGTCAGACGTAAGTCACCAATAGGTGTCGATCGTGTTGTGACCGGTTACGTCATGTCAACCAATCGTTATTTGTGTTAAACATTTTAACTTTGTTAGCGGAAAAACTTTCTCTAGCTTTCCTCGTAGTTCTTTGATTTGGATCGGTTTTATTTCAATTTTTTACCAATAAAACATAATTTCGATGTTTGTTATTTTTAACATGTTAAACTATTTATTTAAACTTGGGCAGTATTTAAAGCTGTGGATTTGTTTCGATTAAGTGTTTAACAGTGCAAATGAGAATCTAAGACGTTTCAGAGGGCATAAAATAAATTTATAATTTTCCATAAATATAAATATCTTTCTATTTACTGCCGCCTAATCTATTCTTCGCGGTTCTCGCAATCATAAGAGACATTCGAAGTTGAAAAACACTGTTTTGTTTGCGTTTTGACCATCCTCGAGTAACGAACCACGGACGTGAAGCAGTAAGGGCCGAATGTTTATAGTGGATGACGGCGTGTATGATCAACTCGTCCAACGACTTGCTCACTGTAGGCAAGTCTAGAACTTCCAGAAGACTTTCGTGCCCAACTGAATGGCTTGACGAGAATCTGTCGTGAGTACAGAGCTTTGATAAATGATAAATATTGTACTATATTATTACATGTTCATTTAGATTATTACGGGTTATAAGCTAAATACGTGTTTAAGGTTGTAAGGTAACTCATGGATAGCTGAGTGGTTACAGTGCTAGCCTGACAGTCAGAAGGTCGCTGGTCGATCGCAAAAGATCACTATTTTTCTGACCATTAGAAACTTGATCCAGTATGCCTTGGATGTTGATCTTTAAAAAATAGTTCTGGCTAAAGAAACACATGATTTTTGTAACGGACCAATCCAACAGATCATTTCCCTAAATTGTTCACTCTCCACGCATTAAATTTAAACTTAAATAAGCACTCAGATGAACGCCCGTTTCTCAAAGAAAGTATTGATGAATTCGCCTTCATCTAGAGCGATTTTTGTTCATAGACAGATTATTAAACAACGGGAAATACCCCCTCTACTTCTGTGTACCCGGTTTTATAAAAAAACACAGTAAAATTGTTATGTTGCTGCCAACATGTGCAAAAGTAAAAACACCTATCATATCAGTGTTTTTAGTAACTAGGCGAAACAACCAACAACAACAACAACGAAGGTTTTTTTAACACGACAAATAAGTTTACTTATTGACAAAGTGTAGTAAATAGGATGCGAGAAAGGGGGCCATCTGCTGAAAAATAAATATATTGCTTTATAATGATGGCAAAGGGGCTGATTCATTTTAATGTATTTTGTTAACATAATTCGAATCATTACATACAGCACTAAAATCTAAATATTAATTTATTTTCATCCATTTTTAATTCATTCCTCCAAAATTTACAATAGGCAAATTTCGATAAACAATGGTACATGCGTTCGTTAATTGGTCGTGACCTTTTTCTTATTTATTTTGAGTAAACTCTGCTAATGTATTGCATTCATCATATGAAAAATTTCCATTTTGTCCTAAAAGTTGACAATGTTTTCACAACGTTTTAAAATTTCACAATACTGGCCCAAATATTCTTAGGTATGGTACATATTGCGAATATACAAATATGGCCCAATTTTACTGAAGATAAGAGTAAAGGTCAGTTCTTATTACGAACTATGCCTTAATGACTCAACATTGTAAACAACCTGATCGTAGTCAACAATTAACTGGAGACAAAAAAAGTTAGTCTTATTAAGTTTATTCCTAAACACCGTAGTATGAGAGCGGATATAATGTGTAAACTGCAATTGTAAATGAGTTAGTAACTAATTAATGTTAAGGAAAATATGATGAAACATTCTGTTGTAAGTTGACTTAAAACCTTAAGTAATGTAAACGTTTAATTTTAATAGTTTAATACAATTCGCACGTTTAAGATTGATGTAACTTTGTAAATATGGAGTATGTGTTCTATTGATAACAGGTTACAAGCTGACGGTGCTTAATTAGCATTCAAAAACATGTAAACGCATAAGTTTTTAACCCATCTGTGTTTCCTTTTTTTGCTCTCACGTGCTAAACCTTTTCTTAGAGATTGGGGAATAATTCAAAATAGCTTGGACTGCAACAACTCACAGACAAGTAGTGCGGTTCTGATCAGTTTGATGTTCATGACTTTGATCAGATTGCTGTGCTTGGCTATGATCAGATTATTGTGCTTGGCTTCTATCTGTTTGCTATGCATGGCTCTGATCAATTTGCTGTGCATACATGCCTCTCCATTTTACTATTTTACTTATTTAAAACTTTTAACAGTGTGTAGTTTCCCTTAGATTTCCCTACACTATTTTATATCTTAGATTCACTAAGAGAAATAGGATCAGGTGCTGCAACTTCATGAAAACAATTTTTAACCAATCTCGATAACCAGGGTGTATCGTAGAATAACATACATATAATTATGGTTTGATTAATAAAATTAAGCAACAATTACCATAAAACCATGGGAACATTCAACATAAAGCATGGATATTTACTATAGTACCTATTGTACCATAAATCCAATAATACAATAATCCATTTAGTTTTCGAAAAAAAAATTAGAAATAACTACATATATAAGACTCTAGAAAACAAATACTATTCTCATGCAGTATTTACTTGAATAAATACACTCCAGAAAATGTCAAAAAGAGAAGAGGAAAAGCAGTACAAAGAATATGACAATTGAATAATGGCCTTATTCCATTGCCATTTCCTTCTTCGAGATGTTAAAAATTTAGATTCAGTCCACTCAAAGCAGATCTTGAAAATGTAAACTTAACCTCATACATTGTCGAGCAGTCTATTTACTTCGTACTTTTTATTCCAACTTTTGTACAGTACTATATGTTTTAATCTTTTGCAATTTCCAAGCAACATCTCATTTTTGTCTTACCATTTTAACTAGGGAATCCCTCTCTCCTCTTAAAATCTGGATAAACCTTTGTAATAGGCATTTAAAACAGTAAGTTGTAAAAGAGGAACCAAAGCATTTTTTCGAAAAGTGGGTTTTTCTGAACACTGTATTCTAAACACTTTTAAAGATTGTGAATAGAATTTTTTTTACGTGGTCAGCGCCTCCAAAATTCTTTTCTACAATTATTTTAAAAAGAGTAAAAAATACAGCAATTTCTCATTTACCTGCAAACGGACTTCAGTAGATTGTATCATTTTCGTGTTCTACGTTAAATTTTGAATAAGAATAACTGAAAATGATGGAGGATCAATAGTAAAATGCCATAGTAGATAGTTCCAAAGATAAAAATTAAGGTCTTTGATAAAAACTAAAATCTTGGTTTAATGCACTTTTACACCCTATTTACAAGAAGGTAGCAAAATATGTTAAAAATATGCCATTTTATTTATAAGCTTTCTAAACGTATGCTACACTATTAAGTTTTATATCTGCATTCAACAAAGCTTGTATTTTTGTTTCAGTTTGAACCGTGAAAATAGTAAAACGTTCCCTGTTTTCTAGTTTTCAAACCACTAAAAGAAACAAAAACAGATCTACACATCAATAGTGTAGCATATGGTTGGAAGGCCTATAAAATTGTACAGTTTTTAACATATTTTACTACTTTCACCATTTCTATAAAAT